TTCGGGCATTTGTCAGTGATTTCGCAAAACCTGTCGGCGAGTGAGAAATCGGGCTAAAATTGTGCAGTGTGAACTCGGCATTAGCTCCAACCTGCTCCAACACACCTGCCAGGACATTTTTAGTAATCATGAAGACCTTGATTAGCTGCTTCAGGTGTTTAATTGGGGTTGGAACCACACTCTGCAAGGAATAAAGTTTATAAAAAAGCAAATCTCTCAAGTTCACTTGCTATTATAGTCTTAATAGTTATCTGTCGGGTCCATGTGATGCATACTGGTTTGCCCAAAAGCTTTGGGAAAGACAGTAACAGTTCCTGACCATAAATTTAGGTAGGGCTTTGTCTAACTTATAATTAACTGCTAGTAGGCTGTTATACAATCAAATGTTTGAACACATGCAGAACATTTCTGGCCTGAGGGCAGTGCAGTTGACACATTGCATACAAAATTGTGAAGCATACAATTGTAACACACTCCGATTTTATAGTTTCAGACTATGGTTCTATCCAGTCAGAGGTTGTCAAACATGTTTGATTTTTAAAGGTGCTGTATGTAATTTTTTGACTCTTCTAAAGCCAAAAAATAACATAATATGTTTGTAGATATTATAGAAACATGTTATGTTTACATAGCTGTTTCTCTGAAAAATAATGCTATAGCAAGTAATTCTACTCTGAAATGTGCGTTCCGGGCAGGTTCCAGGGCGGAATGCCTGGGTTTTTGCAGTACCCATTTCAACTGCTAGCTGTCAATATTACATACTGCACCTTTAAAACACATATTGTTTTCATTTGTCACACAACTCATCCTTATGCCGAGTTCAGACTGCATGATTTTCAAACTCGTTGGATCGCCGTTGTTTTCACACTGCGTGATTGTCACTCGCGTGAACGAGCACCGATTTGCCTCTGATTTCGGGCATTTGTCGGCGATTTCGCAAAACCTGTCAGCGAGTGAAAAATAGGGCTAAAATCGTGCAGTGTGAACTCTGCATTACTTGTTAGTGAATTATGCCCAGTTTTTTCTCTGTAACTGTTTACAAATTTGGCAAGTGTATGATGCCTAGTGTTTTAAAAAAAAAACTGTTTGGATTTTAATAGTTGTATAGTGTATTCCAGCCTTTAGAATACACACCTGTAGTATTTATTGGGTTTGAATTATCCAAACCCAATTATTCAAACCCTTCAGTTTACTCCTATTCTTTTACTTGTCAAACCAATACTTGCTATAGTTTATTCAAGTACTCAAGGTTTATGCTACCATTAAAAAAAAAGGCATAAGAATAGTTTGTGTCAAGTGTTTATTAATTAATAGACGAAATGTTTGAAACAATTGCATCTACATGTATTGCAAAAATGTTTAAATAACAAATTTAATTTTGTATTTAATACTACGTAACCTGCTATAAATTGACATGCAGTGTTTATTAACTGACAGTTTACATTTTAATTGTAAAAACTGTTCCAGTGTTGTGCATATGTTGACAGGTACAGTTAGAGGTATCTCAATCTGCTATGATATGCAATCAATATCGAAACACTGATTATAAAATCTTCACTAATATCTATGCTGTCAGTAAATGAATGTATGTATCATGCACTGTATCTTCAATGATAATCTTAGGAAGAGCATTGAGAGAGTGTTGTCATAACCCCACCAGCCCTGTTGACATAAATATGGCGCTGAATAGAAATGTAAGTTAGAAAACCCTCATTTGATCAAATGCAGAGAAAACGACAGAGACCTACTGAATACAAGTGCATGGAATATAGACCGTCATGTGATCCAGTGACACTCTCCTCTAAAAAGGATAAATCCTTATCCAAATCATGTTGAATCCTCCCAGTCAATGTCAAATACGACATACAATATATGCAAAAATTTAGTAGATAAACTATGCTTAGAAGTTTTAAAAAACAATGCTTACAATGCAACTTACAAGGCATTTCGAATGTCATTTAAGTCATCCACACTGATTGCTTCTTCATTCAAATTTACTGATGATTTAATGACAATATTACAGAACTACTGAAAAATGTTAAAAAAACAGGACAGTCTTGTAATGTGACGGTGTATTCTGGAAGTTAAATCACTAATCATTAGGTTGCAGTCATTGATGTCAGATGTTATAGGGCACAGTTCATAACAACGAGTAAAGTTTGCAGTGTTGTCCCAGCTAACAAGGAATGTCCTCAGAACTTTGGATAACGTAAAATTGTTAGCAGGGGTAGTGTTTATTCATCTACTATACTGGTTTCCAACTCTCCTGTAGCTGACAGTTTGGTGTCATCAGATGTGACAAAATGAAGGGGTTACAACGATGACAAAAAGTGGAACCAGAAGAAAAATCTGATTTTGCTTGTCTTTGTACTTCCATAAATTGTTTGTGAGTGTTGGTAGTGATGTCGCTATAATGTTGGTAGACTGCAAGTCTGAACTTATCTTTAAAAATGTGATCACAGATGACATATATTTATGGTAAAATTAAGATATCAATTATCTCAGTGAATCACGCTCACTGAGACTGCCACATGCCATTTTTCCTACTCTCGAGGAGGCGACATGTAAGTGCTATGGATGTGCATCTCATGACTCAGGCCGATACGATACGCATCTCGATGCATAGCCAACGATACGATACATTAAAGATACATATGAAGCAGCTACCGATGCGATGCACCCGTTACGATGCAGTGCGATCCGATTTCAATTCGATTCGATGCAATATTATGATGCAATGGAGAAAATATGATCACTTTTAATGCCTCGAGGCCTGTTTCATACAACAAGTTAACCAAATAAGCCAGGCTTATTTCAGTTAGTCTGACTCATTGTCAAATGGTTTGGTTCCATAAAGCAAATTTAACATAGGCCTAGATCAAGCTCAGCCACTGTGGCAACTTATGCTGGGGAAACTAACCTGGTCTAAAGCAGGCTAACTGTCAGGCTAAGCTCCTCTACTGACCAATAGGAACAGAATGATATTACCACTGTCTCACATACTATTATTTTACTTTTTATTTTTATTTTTTGATTTTTTTACAGTTTCTAGCCATGCAGCCGTTCTCTCAGGTTTTATTACAGCTGTACCTTTTATAGTTTGCAGAACAGATAGCGGAACATGAGAACATTACAATCTAAAATGGCTCTTTAAAGCATTAAAATAACTAAATAACAAAGTTAAAATCACTGAATTAAATGAAAATAAATAAAGAAAATTACTACATTTTAACTGATATAAGAAACACATTAACTCATTTGAGCGTAGTAATTAGTACTGTAGCCTACTAGCTTACATTTGATTTACCTATTACAAAATTATACAAAAGACACATTTAATGTCCAAAAACAAATTTTTAGCAAAATGTATATTTTACTCTAAATTATTGCTCTCCTATTCGATTGCGCTCTGTCTGTTTAGCGCGCATGCGTGCAGTAGTGCTCTTTCACTCGCGTGCCTCGCCCACTCCTGACAGCAAAAAGGATATGTTTGCATGACTTTCTAACACTTACAGATGAAAAATATACATGTGACATGTCAATTATGCACTGAGGAAAACACAACGTCTCAAATGCATTAAACAGCACAGATATATTCGCTGTTTGTCATGGTGGATCGATTTGATCCATGATCGACATTAAGGTCGGTTTAAGAATAAGCGTGCACAAATTAGTGAGATTGTGTGAATTTAATTTGTCGTTAATGGAACCGCTTTAGCCCCGATTGATTTGTTAGGTTATTTCAAGTCAAGTTTTGGACTTTAATCCTCGCTTTTCATCGGATCCCCGTAGTGTTGTGATGCATCACAATCACATTGATGAGAGAATCCCACCCAGCACCAGACGTCATTTGGACGTCGTTTTTTGGGCTTAGAATTATGAAAAAAGGTGTGCACTTGAAATCAGTTTACTTTTTTATCCATATACAGTCTGCTTGAAGAGACACAATATAATATATGTTACGTACTTTGTAGTTTAAGAATATCATAATCAATAAAAGTAAATAATCCATTAACAGTATAAAAGCGTGCATATTGAGATAAAGGACTAGCAGATGCTAACTTTTTCCAACACGTTCACGTGCGCGAGTAAATGATCTCTAACTTCTTAAACTTTGGCAAACGACGTTAATAGTAATCGCATGTAGTTAACTAAACAACACACATTTTAATGTTAGTGAAATGGCTGAACACGCCCCAGTTTCTTGACTCCACCCCCATGTCAAAACAGTGCCACAAAGCGAGACGCGCAGAAACGTGAAGCGCAAAGGGGAAAC